ATATGGTTGTCTTTATAAAATAAAAACTACAGGACTGAAATTCACAACCCACTAAAATCAGCAATAAGTTATGAAAATCATAAAGATATTTCTTTAAGTAATTAAGAGTAGTAAAAGTATTCAAAGTCCAAATAGCTGGTGGTAAGGTCTCCAGGATGGATTCCCAGGATAAGAGAGAAGGGAACAAATGAAAACCTTGGAGTTTGAAAAACAAAGGGAACACATGATATCAAAGTGAAATTTCATTGCAAAGAAAATAAAATTTCTGAAAACTTTTATAAGAGCAACAATAGCAACTACACAGTATGATTGTGAAGAAGACTACCTGTAGAAATTAGAAGCAAATCTTTACATTAAAATGAGACAAGTCTTCATTTCTTCTTCCTGAAATATTTCATTGAGTATGTTTTGTGGAGCAGGCTTCTGGTTTTGAATTCTTTCAGTTTGTTTGTCATGGAAGGTTTTTCTTTCTTTTTCAATTTTGAAGCTTAATTTTGCTGGGTACAGTAATCTTGGTTGGTCTTCATTTTCTTTCAGAGCTTTGTATGCATTATTCCAAGCCCTCTTGGCTTATAGGGTCTGAGTTGAGAAATCAGTTGAAAGCCAGATGGTTTACCACTAAATGTAACCAGTCATTTTTTTCTTCTGTGGCTTTTAGGATTCTATCTCTATGTGTTAGGCATTTTCATATTAATGTGCCTTGGAGTGGATCTATAGAAAATTGTATATTTGGAGTCCTATAAACCTCTCAAATTTGAGTTCCATCTCATTCTTAAAGTTTAGAAATTTTTCTAATATTATTTCATTGAAAACATTGTACATCCCTTTAGTTTATATTTTTCAGAGTCTTCACCTACCTCAGTGATTCTTAAATTTGTTCTCTTAATGTCATCCCATATTTCTTGAATATTCTGGTCATGGTATCTTAACATCTTTTCTTTATGGTTAATTTTAAGATCATATACTTGGTCTTCAAGGTTGAAAATCTATCTTCAAAGTGGTCTAATCTATTCGTGATGCTTTCCATTGAATTTTTAATTGGACTTATTTCATTTTAAGGATTTTGATTTGGTTCTTTTTCAGAATCTCTATGTGATCTCTCACTTCCTGTATATATTCTCTAATTTCACTCATTATGTCTTCTTTTAGCTTACTGAACATTTTAACTACAAATTGTCTAACTTCTTTCTATAACCTTTCTTCCACAGTGCAATGTATGGAGTCAGTTATTGAATGTTACAGGCTGCCTGAGGTGATTTGTTACATTGCTTTTTCATATTGCTTGTATGTCTACCCATTTATTGGGAGGTTATAGCTTCTTTTTTTTAAGAGAGAGAGAGAGAGAGAGAGAGAGAGAGAGAGAGAGAGAGAGAGAGAGAGAGAGAGAGAGAATTTTTTAATATTTATTTTTTAGTTTTCAGCGGACACAACATCTTTGTTGGTATGTGGTGCTGGCGATTGAACCCAGGTGGCACGCATGCCAGGCGAGCGCGCTACTGCTTGAGCCACATCCCCAGCCCTATAGCTTCTTTTTTTAATTTTTTACTTGTTCTTTTTAGTTATACATGACAGTAGATGTATTTTGACATATTATACATACATGGAATATAACTTCCCTTTCTTATGGTTGTACATGATATGGAGTTACACTGGTCATGTATTCAAAAATGAGCTTAGGAAAGTTATGCTCAATTCATTCTACTGTCTTTCCTATTCCCATCCTCCCTCCCTTTACTTTGTTTCCCTTTGTCTAAGCCAAAGTATTTCTATTCTTCCCTATCTACTCCCCTTATTATTTGTTAGCATCCGCATATGAGAGAACATTCGGCCTTTGGTTTGGAGGGACTGGATTATTTCATTCAGCATGATAGTCTCCAGTTCYAGATATTTACCAGCAAATGCCATAATTTCATTTTTCTCTATAGCTGAGTAATATTCCTGTGTGTGTGTTTGTGTATCACTTTTTCTTTATTCATTCATCTGTTGCAAGGCATCTAGTTTGGTTTAATAATATAGCTATTGTGAGCTGAACTGTACAGCTGCTTCTTTTTAAGGGACAGCTTTGTGAGTTTCTTTCTCTTATGAGTCCCTGGGTTAGATGAATATCCAGATATTGACAATTTAACCTAGTGTGTCGCCTCTGTTAATTTCAGTATCGGGTCTACTTTGAGAGATGACACTGAACCCTATTTACTACAATCACTTCAGAGCCAAGCCACATACTATTCAATCTTTCAAAAAGTAAAAAAACTTGTTGATATTATTCTCCACAGTTCCTCTAATCTAAGTGTAAACTCACAGTATGGTTCTGAAACAGGTTTAAGAATTAATTAGTCATAGTAAAATTGCTATAAAATTATATGAGGGCTGAAAGGGGGAAGAAGAAAGATTGGGTAAGAGAGTGAGAAAAAGAAAAAAAAGGAAAGTAACAGACTGAGGTAAAAAGGAGAAAAAGGCTGATGGGAGTATTTGAAATAATGGGAGACAGTGTGAGAGGAATAGGGCATAGAGAAGCAAGTATATACTAGGAGTAGGAAGACAAAGACATAGAGAATAACACTTTAAACTGTTAGAGGAAATATATTCATATGGATTGAAGGTACAATGTTGGCAGCCATCAAGAATACAAACAATAGTAAATGCTGGAGAGGATGTGAAGAATAATACTTTTATGCTGTTGGTGGTATTGCAAATTAGCACAACCACTATGGAAGTCAATGCGGAGAATTCTCAAAAGATTAGCTATGGAACCTCTATATGACCTAGCTATACATTTCCTGGTATTTATCCTAAAGGGAGATGTGTAGAGTAATGACACTAGAGGGAGGGAGGGGAGAAGGGAAAGGGTAAATATTGGGGAATAATATTGGCCACATTGTATGGTTATGTTGTGTGCATGCACAAATATGTAACAAGGAATTCCACCATTATATACACATATACTGTACCAACAAGAAATTACTGAAAAAAAGAATTTTCATAAAACAATGCTGAAAAAGTTACAAAGTCCTACTTAATTCAGTATGACAATAAAAGGAAATAAAAAGCATACAGAATAGGAAGGAAGAAATAATAGTGGTTTTTTAATAAGGTGCCATGATCATCCATATAGAAAATCCAAAAGAAACAACCAAAAAAATTTCTAGAATAATCAACTATAGCAAGGTTGCAGGAATCTAGCTTAATTCACAAAAGTCACACCTTACCATGAACTCCAGCTGCCATCCCATGACTCTGCATGGGCCTCCAGTCCCACACACCAAATACTACATGGTTAAGCTCATACCTACTTTGATAACCCTGGTGCACACAGCATTTCTACAGGAAGACACACAAGGCTACAGTACTGCACAGGGAAAGACCTGGTTGCTAGGCCACAGACAATCAGAAGTCATTGTGTGGACTCTCCAGAGATATTAAGTCTCCCTAGACATACCAAGGAACTGAGGGACCCACCTAGGTTTACACCAGAGGCAGGCAGAACTAGGTCTGTGTGGATAGCTTCCAAGACCTAAGTTCTATGCTGTTTTTGAAGCAGAAAGCTGAGGTAGATGGGGAAAAAACTAAAAATAAACCTCTCCAACCTAGCACAGAGATAGCTGGAATAGTTGCTACTTCCACACCCAGAGAAACTTAAGAGGACAAGAGGAGAAGGCATGGGCATTTACTACACCTCCAAAAACCTAACATATCCAAACTAGACGGCTTTGTAGGAAATCTCTCCATTTCAAACAGCTAACCAAGAAATAATTTTATTTTAGACTCAATAGTTTTTTTTTTATTCATTGGTATTGACTTCTATGTTGATTTGAGAGGTTTTCCTCCATTATTTTATATTGCATACTTTATTCCAATTTTATATGTTTTTAAACATTTTTAATGTGTTTATTGGAATTATTCTTTAAATCTTCTTCTTTCTCATTGATACATTTTCTTCCTCCTCACATTATCTATTTATATCACTACCACCCCTTTCATTTTACTTTTTCCTCTTTTACTGTTCATGCCCTATATAATTTAATGGTCATTTTACTTCCTTTAATAACTAATTTTTCAGCCTAGAGTATTACTCCCATTTTGGACTGGCAGGATACAAAGGACATTTTAAGTATTTATGGTTTATTAGTATATGGTTTGCCCTGAATTGGGAAGAGTTACTAGTGATGATTATCTTCTCTCAAAGAAGAGGAATTGATCATGGCATTGTGATCATTTTGAATGGGAATTCTAACTCAGATATTCACCAAGCTTGAATCATATAATAAAGAGAAAGAAGCTCACTAAAAAGACCCTCACCCAACAGGAAAAGAGATATCCCTCCCAGCAAATGCACAAATATCAATACTGAAAGCTGAGAAAACAAAGTGCCTCCAAAAGTTCCTAATGCTCCAATCACTGGACCCATAGATATCAAAATGGAGGAGATGAAATAACCATATTTTAAGCCTAGAAATTCATAGTCTTCAATTCCCTGATTAGCTCAGGATGGGCACAAGGCTCCATGCACCCCATGCTACAAACTGGTCTCTACACAATCACCTCAACCCACAGACAGAAATGAACCAGATGAACTTTTTCCAGCTGTATCACTATCTCCTCAGAAGAATTTAACAAATTTCTGAACTTCTGTATGAGTAATCATTTTAAGAGATGTTACTTTGAGCTATTTACATTTTCAACAGGAATAATAATATAATGGAAGGTATGTCAATAAATCATGTCCAAATAAAAAATGATATCAACATGGAGAAAATGCCAAGAATTTTAAAAGTTGATTGTTACAATAATCAATGAATTTAAAAAAGATCTAAGATGAACTGGGAGGGGGGAATATAGGATATGAAAGAACATTTACAAGTTCTGAAAAAAACAAACTGAGAAATAGTAAACATACACAAAAAGATACAAAATCAGACATTTAGATTACTATAAGTTTTCTAAGAAAAGGTTGAAATGTGGAATGCCTTTTTAGAAACTACATCACACATACCAGTGTAAATTTGGTTTTTATTAACAATCAACTTTCTATAAACATTGCATCTAAATGTTCACCAATCAGCTGCACAATTTGAACAATTTTACTTCCAAAACAAAGACAAATGCTTTTATTTCCTTATGTCTCTGTCTTTCCTTGGGCTAGAGAAAGAAGTTTTTGTATGTAAAAGCAGATTCCAAAGGGGCAGTATTTCAAATGTGCTTTTTGTACACAGCCACATCCATAGCATGTGGATATTCATCCTGCTAGACCTATCTCTGCAGTCCACTATCAGGGCTGTACAGTAAGCCCAAATCGCAAGCATCACCCCAGGCTTCTGAACCACCCCACTGTCTGAGGACTTCATGTCTGAGACCAAACAAAGCACAAACAGATTTGGTAACTATGTCTATGTGATTGAAGAGTACATTAAAGCAAAAAAAAAAAAAAAAAAGAAAAAAAATGGGGGAGATAGGACTGGGGTAAGAGATCTTTGACAGCATTTCCAGGAAATTCTTGCAATAAATGTGGGCACAATATCTGAATTACTGCTGGTAGCCAAAGTCAGAAGCCCACCAGTGGTATCATGACTTATAAGGAGTAAAAGCCAAGTCAGAAAGAGAGCTGGCCAGTGATACCCCTGAGACTGTTTTCCTTTTCTCCCTTACCCAGCCCACAAGTAACAGTCCTCCTGGCCCTGAGACCTCAGCCAAGATTTCTGTTTGGTTTGGCCAAGTGCCATCTTCCCATAAAGACTGGTGAAAAATAAGGCAAAACTGGGGATAAATAGTCCCTCTAAAGCACTGAGGGGTAAATGTACAGACCACAGGAGGTTAGTAAGACCTAGAATCCCCACTAGAGGGAAGCACACATATCCTTGCTAAGTCAGCTTCATTGGCCTGCCAGAACACAGGTGTTAGAACTATCCCTACCTAAACACACTTTCCTCACTACATAAACCCTCAGGGCTTTTCAAGTTCAGCACATGGGGTTCTATGAAGGAGAGGGATTCACACTTAAAAATCTATCCTTGTTTTCATTTTATCACTCATCCATGGTTGGAGGATAGAAAGGACAGGTATATACGACCAGGGACCTTTCCTAAGGGGCATGGGTAGGGCTGAGCTGAGGTTCAGCTCCTCTGGCGGGTAGTCTACAGCGCCTGGTGTCTGCAGACTGAGAAGGGATGTGGGTAATTGCACTTTGGGGCACAGTGGGCACAGGCATGGACTAGATATGGCCTGGGAGACAAGAGAGGGCAGACTGACCTCAGTTCAGTTCTCTGGACAATGAGAGGAAGGTCATGGTGAGGCAACTCCACAGACCAGAACTGTGATCCCAGTCAGCAAGACACAGAAACAGCAAGAGAAGGCTTACTCCCAGGATCTCTCACCCAGGGAACAGAGACCCTGTATCCTCTTCCCAACCTTCAATACCAGTTGCAGGGTTTCTACTCTGAATATTTGTATTTGCTTTATCTTTTTTTTGGGGGGGTAGGGGATGTGCAGGACTAGGGATCAAACTCAGGTCCTCAAATATTCTAGGCAAGTGCTCTAATCACTGAGATATCTCCCCACACCACTGCTTAATCCTTCTAACAGGTCAGTTGAGGCACCTAAGGCTCAGGGAGACTCCAGGCAGGACTCCCCAGGTATCACCCTGCCCCATTTCAGGAGGCTCTGCAGGTGCTAGCAGCTGGATGACAATTCCCTGGTTGAACATCTGAGCACTCATGTCCTGGCCAACTCCCAGAGTTGACTATTTGCCTAGCACTATGAAACTGGGCTTCAAGAACAGAATTATAAGCAGACGTTTTAGGGGGACAAAGGTCATTTGATAGTGTTGAATTTGGTTTTGTCTGTCTTATGAAAAATGGTTCAAAAGGTAATCCCTGATGATAGAACAGACCAATTGCAGGGCCAAGGGCTCCTAAAGGATCCTGTCTGTTCGGTCTGGTTAAGGCAATGATGGGTGGATGTTGGCTGGGAAGCAGTAACATAGTGGCCCATGCACTTTGCTGCTCACACCTGGCCTTCCTCCCAGAGCCAGTCACCTGCCTTTCGGCTCTTAGCAATGGCTCCATGGAACTTCCCCAGCAGGAGCCAGCACATCAGACAGGTGACAGGAGCACCTACAGCACACACATCCAGACTAGACAATATGTGTCTGCTCTTTCAGCATAAAGCCGGCACCAAACTGGAGAAATCTATTGGTAATCATTTTTTAAATACTCAGTTTTGTTCTAAGTACTTCCTTTCCTTCCATTTGTATCTCAAAACCCTTCTTTTTCAGTGTAGACAAAGAAAGATATGTACAGGGCAGGCCTATGAAAAATAAGGACTTGTCATAAAACAGGCTCAAAACTATAGGAAATATGCAACCTGACTTTTAGCATCCATGAGTTCCCATGAACTCTGTTACGACAAAGTCTCAGACCTGGTCTTCCCTCTTGTCAAGTCATAAGTGTTTTCAGACTTAAAGAGGACGCCACATTTGTTAGAATATATAAGGCAAAAAAGGTTTCAGATCTATTTTTATGTAAAAGAGATAACAAGAGGTTTCTAAATGCAACACCCAATTTTAAGTGTCATTCCCACTAGACACATATTACAAAATACTCTCTTCTGTAAAGTGCTGTTTGCTCAGTAAATCATGCACCACCAGAGACACGGCACCACAGCTTCATCTGCTTAAGGGCCAATGTGGCAGCATCAGTAGAAGGAGGGTGGGAGTTATTGCCTATAAAGACTATTTCCATTCCATCTCCTCAGCCCTCTTTAGTGAGAAGGGAATTCTCTCATTACTGCCAGACATTCCCAATGCTTGGCTCTGGGACAGGGACAGCTTCATTATCAGGGCTGTCCCCCACTTCTGCTCCTGCTCTCCCTTCTGGTTTGGCATTGTATTACCTCATTCTTCTCAAGATCTTGATTCAGAACTCAGCCAGCTCCCCATGATGGCTGCATGGGGTCTCCTCCTCCCTTTAAATCATATAGAATGGCCAGGCAGAAGTGGGATTCACCCATGCCTGACACACAGGAGGGCTTTCCAGGAGATTTGTCAAGAAGGGTTCAAAAAAGAGAGGCAATGGTCACCTGCCAAGTCTATACTATTTAAAGGACTTAGAAAGGTACACAATTGGCAGTAAACAAATTCCTTTAGCTCTTCATAGATGTCCACAAAAACAATACCCTCCACACCATCAGACGTGAATGATTTCTGCTCCAGTGTCTTCAGGCTCTGTGCAAGAAGAAGAGTTTGTGTCCGAATAACAGACTCCATGTCCATCTTTATTTTCAAAACTGGGCTCTGTTAGTGCAGATTTTTCAAAAATATTCTTTTTGCTTGTTTCTGGACAGTTTTGAACATAGATCACTCTATTATAAGCCTTGAGTCTCTTCCACAATTGCAGGTATACTTTACATTGAATGTACATAAAAAGAAGTCCTCCAGTGAAGCCAATGGCCACTACCACCAATTTAGTCCAAAAGGGCCACTCTAGGATTCCTGGAAGGGAAAAATTCAATTAGCCTCTCAATAGAGTTCAAATTTAACATCTGAAGTAAATAGAACACAGCTTTTGAACTTCTCATAACCAATGGATTCTTCACTCATCAAATCTTCCTTCCTCAAAAGTGGGGAATAGGTGGAAGAGAACATCCACCATCTTTTATCCTGTCCTCTCATCTCACACTCCATTATTCCATTTTTTCTGACTGGGTTTTAAACTAGCCTGAGAAACATCCAAAAAGAATGCTTTGTGCCTCCTATTTATGCCCCACATCCCAAATCCAGATGCTCACAGTAGGGCTGGAACAACATTCTGACCTCAAGACCCAGCATGTTCTCCAAGGCTTGTGTGCAGCACTTACTTTTCAGGCTGAGCTCTTACCTGTTCCCTGCCCCTGCTTGATCTCCTCAGCAGTACGGTCGATGAGCACATATAAGGACCAGACTACACAGGTGATGGCGATGACATGAAACATCACTGAGTATGTGATCTTCCTGCGCTCGCTGGCCGTCATCTGCAACTTCTCCCACTGGAAAGGTGACAAGCAAAGAGTTAGGCTCAGGCACAGAGTAAATAGGTATAATGGGAGTGAGAATATTGTTGATGGCCACAATCAGCTCTCCATCCCCTCCCTCTCCCTCAACTAGATGACTTTCCCCAAATACTCAAAGCTGTTCTCTTTAAGCCACTGGGCTTCAACCAGGTACCAGACACAGCCAACATTTTATGAAATAAAAAGCATCTGGGATCAAAATAAGCACTGAATTATCATCAGCACCTGCTTATTCTCATAAGCAGACAATAAGTGGCCTAATAAAGGATTCTGTGATTTCAATCCTAATGAAAACAACATGTTGGTTCAAGACCCAGGTGCTGTTTTATGTCTCCCTGGCTTGTTGACTGGTATGGACAAGCGGAAGAATAGGGTTGATGATGCCACAATACACTGGCAGATGGGTCACACTATGTTGTGAAGGTGAATGGCAGAAGGCGCTCACTCTTTGGTCCTCTGCTACCTTTGCAGCAGCAGCTTGACATCGATGCTAAGAGTTCCTGGTACAAGCAGACTCTGACAGTGCCATCTCCTCTAGGAGCACATTAATTTACTCCAAATAGCCAGATTTTCTTTTTCATTTACTGGTTTCCGAATCAGAAGAAAACATATAAAAGTAGAAAGAAAGAAGAAAGTGTAAACACTCTGCATATCCCTTGCCAACGGTAGTCACAGCCTTTATCCAGATGGTTCTATGCAATGTAAGCTGAAAATAGAGCCTCTAAATTATTCACGTGCCACAAGAGAGAGTCACTTCAGAGATCAGCATGGAATAGGTGGCAAAATGTTTCTTTTAGTAATATGAGCCTGCCTTCTGTAACATCTGATTGCTTTCTGCTGAGTTTTTATAACCAGCAAGTTCTCTGGGTTTCCTACCTAAAACAAAATCAGTGTCTTGGTGTCTCCAGTCCCCTGATTATCATTATTTCCTAGGACACCCACAGCTCCACTCTTTAACACCTCTGAAATGCTCACCCTCTTGTCTTTCTTGGTGGATGCTTTTCTCCAATTTGACCTCTCTAAAGTCCTTCACTTTGCCCTCAAAGCCCATGCATATATCCTTCCAGAACTGCTACAAAAGCCAAACTTTCTTTGATGCTCTCCACCTCCCTAGGATGAGGCATGCCCACAACACACTTCTCTCTGCATGGTTTTAATTGGTCTCATTGTATGCCATTATTTGACTTGTGTGATTCCCCTGGCAATTTACATGTTGACATTTTTAAGATAGAAATAGGCTTTTATTTTTCCAAACAAAACCTCTGTGCTAGGCACATAGAAAGATGTATGAAACAGTCAACATCTGAATGGTAATCAGCATCACACAGTTTCTGTAAAATGAAGCAATGACCTGTGACATGAAGACAGCTGCATTTCCCCACTCACCCACCTCCCATCCAGTAAACACTTATCACAGGCATACACGAACAAATTGACTATGTGCTATGCTAGGCTTAATGGTTGGGAGACACACTATCTCCAATATTCAGTCTTCACTGGAAAGGCAAGATACTAACAGTTAATACATACAAAGCTAAATGCTGACTAAGATGTCACAGGACAGTCTGTGGCCAAGAGCCAAGCGACTGACACAGACAAGCAAGCAGTCTAATTGTGAAAGAGAAGCATCATAACTGAATAGTGGTAAAGAGCTTCTTCCTGAGGGTAGGGACTTAGACATAAGTACCAGAAACAACAATCTACAATGTGAGTGTAAGCACCAGTCAGTTATTTAAAGAAACAAACAGAGACATGCTATGGCTCCATGGTCTGAGATGATAACTTATCCAGGTCATTTATCTCAGAGAGGGTTAAGTACTTCTGGGAATGTTCTTTCCTCACATACTTTTCTCAAAGGTTTCAGCTTGGTCTCCATGATGAACTCGTACTTGCAGAGCTCACAGCAGCGCGTGTCAGAGCTCTTGATCCACTGCTGCAGGCAGGCCTGGTGCACAAAGTGGAGGCTTCCTGTGCAGTGGCAGGGGGTGATCAGGGGGCTCTCATCATCACCTTCACAGTGGCATATCCTATGGTGGGAGGAAAATCAGTTAGTGCCAGAAGAGCCCCACAACAAGGAAGGTGACACTGCAGTGGAAGTTCAATCCATGAAAGAAAACTTTCAGCAACAAACATCACAGAAGTGACTATGAGCACAAAAACATACAAGCACAAATGAAAATAATATTTAAACTAAAATATCTAGCTTACCGCACACACATGGAAAGTCAGGATGGCATTTGGCAATAAAGAGGGAGAAAATGATATAAGAAATGACAAAGCAATCATTGTGGGTTAAGACTTAAGAATTTCACTGAAAGATGAATTTAAGGCAACATGAAGTCATCTTCTAGAACATAAGACATTAAAATAATTAAAATTTATATGTAAAATAAAATGAGCAGTGTCCCTCCCCAAAATACTACAGTGACTTAAGAAAGCATGGCTTTCTAACTTTAACACTGACTTCGCCTTCACACACTACAGGTACATCAGCCCACCCTCTCTCATGGAGTAAACACAGATCATAGTTCTCTCTCCTCCACCTAAAAACTCACCATGATGACACACTGCAATTTCATTTCTTTTATTCAGGACCACTCATAGTACTGAACAAAAATTAATTTTAAAGCAGTCATTATTTCTAAGGAAGCATGCAGCAGGAGAACTACTAACCTCAAGGAACTTAATCAGGCTTTTGAGAACAGGGATCTTTCCAACAGCTGAGGAATACGCAGGGTATGTGTCCTGAAAGCAGCCAGGCCCTGACCTTGCCAGACTCTTGGGCTGGTTGTTTCAGGCACAGGATTTCTGATCCAGCTCTGAGAAATGTAATCGGTGGCACCAAGGAGGGAAAGGTTGGTTTGGGAGAAACAGGAGATTTGTGACAGAAAATGAATTCTCAGAGCCTTAGGGCCAGACAAGGATGCTGCACAGAGAAAATAAGGTGGGAAAGAGGATTTAGGACTAGGCAGGGGTGGCCACACCTAAGTTAAGAAGAAAACAGGAAGGAAATACTGGAGAGCAGCTACTCCTAAACATTCACTGGGAGGAGCTACAAGGAGTAAAAAAACGAGACTGGGATGGCAGCAAATGCTTAAAATCAGGACTACCAAGCTGGAAAATTGGAAATACTATTTTCTCTTTTCTAATATCCTTATCCAAAGTCTATTTGTTTTTAGTTGAGAAGGTCATCTTGGCCTTTAATATGTATAGCTTCTTCCTCTTTTAAAATTAGTTTTTCAAATAGCAACAATACTTCATTCTCCTGAAGAAAGCAATTACCCCCAAAATGGCTACAACTGTATTAACTGTTTTCCCGAAACTTCACATATTAAAAGCAAGATGAGGTTACAAAGGTGTGAGCAGAGATGGCCAGAATGGTGGTTCCTGGCAAACCAACCTGCAGGCATCCCCTGAGATGGACACAGGAGAGATGGGGGTAGATTTTTCAGACAGGGGAGAAGGACAATCCAGGTCACTGTCCTTCTCCACTGAGCAGAGGGGTGCCCGCAGAACCCTGCACTTGAGTTTGGCGGATGTGCTGTCCTCAAAGACGTCGTCGTCTCCCATTTCATCAGAGCAGAAGCCCATGCTCCCTGCCAGCCCACTTGAGGACTTGGTGGCATGCAGGTGAGCGGTATGGCTCTCCAGATAATGGAATCTGCGCAGACTGCTGGTGCTAGAGCCATGGGAGAGCAAGAACAGGTACTGGAGCAGCCTCTGGCTTCTGGACCCGGCCTCGCCATCTTCTTTATCTTCCAAAATCGGGCTGTGCATGCCCCCCTTGCCAGCTTCTACCTCTGAGGCAACAGAATGGTTGGCAGAGAGGGATGAGACACAGAAACGTTTGGAACTGCCAAGAGATTTAGGATTCAGTGCTCTTTTTCCTTTAAAATGAAACCTGTTAATTCTGAGACATGGATCTTGAGAGAGTACCAATTTTCCTTCAGAACAAGTTCTTTCCACATAGTCAAAGCTTTCCAAAGTATCCTGGGGCTTCTCACATACATCATTTAGGGACTTTGAAAACTTTAGTGTTCTTCTGGCTTTGGCATTCTTAGCAGGCTTCAAGGCCTGAAACCATTCAAAATCAAAGGAATTGCTTTCTGATGCCTGTAATGTGTCTTTACAGACAACTGTCACAGGGAGCCCTTGTGTCAGAGAACTCTGGCAGTGAGGTGCTTTCAAGACAACAGCAGACTGCACGGGACTGTGATGACAATACTCAGAAAACACTGCACTGGAACTGCATGCAGAACAGTGGAATAAAGCACAGAAAGTAAAAACAATTTTAAGAGAAAACAGACATCAAAGTTTAGAAATGAGACTGGTGTGGTAATCTGGTGAGCAAACAACACATAAAATTGGGCCAACTCCTTCACCAAAGGAAGAATGATAAAACAAATGAAAAACTGAGAAGCTACAGACATTAATCCTTATATCCAGAATCATATGGGCCATGGCAGCATCTGAAGCACAGTGTTACCTGCAGATGTCCTGGTTGGATGGTGTGACAGAAGTGCGAGAGAAGGCAGACACTGGAGCTGATGCTGAAGGAGAACTCCCAGCCTGCAATGACATACCCCCAGTCAGTGTTCAGGAAGGAGCCAAGGTAAGTGGAAACACCATCTTCTCATGAATGGCTGTGAGAAGAAAAATCTAAGAATGTCTATTGCTCACCATAAGGAATATATGTTAGGTCCTACACACCTAGGCAAAACAAATACAACATCATTCCTCCTTTTTTTCTTATGTGTGTATTGCCCTTAAAGAAAAGTAAGATAGTAATATACCTTGACCTCACTTTTCATTCCCCCCAAAAAACCTAGTCAGTTAAGGAAGCAATGAGAGCAAGCCGGGGCTGGAATGTCCAGGTACATATTATCTTGAAGGTCTCTGACTTTCTCTCATGCACACTGGGAAAAAGGAAAATTCAACATTATCAGAAGAAAGTTGCTTTCTGCATGTACACCAGGGTAGCTGCTTCTTGGGATGCTGGTCATACATGCAACCTAACCAAGCTAATGTTGATGTCTCTGTTTCTGTAACCTAACCTATAAACTCCCTCCTCCTACAGTAACTGGTGCAGATCAGAGCACTTTGGAGGCAGAAGTGCTCATCCAAGTGGCTGCCCCTGGACAAAGAGTGGAGAGGGATAGGAGGCACTATTCTCTGCAAGGTTCCGGAAACACTGTGTGTAGCAGAGGTTCATCTGCCCAGCCTGTCACCACCGGACTTTCTGACAAAGCACCTTTCCAGCGTTTTGCCACTGGACCATTTCTCAGTAAAATAAACTTCTCGATAAAGTGAATTTTTCAATAAAGGCTTATGACTTATAAGCCACCTCAGAGTATTACCTTAGGTCTCTCTGCAATGTGTCCCAATGTCCTGGAACAACTGGGCTATGGATATAACAGCAGGCCAGCTGGAAGACCAAAGAGATCCTATGAGCACCAAGACTGTGGCAGCTGAAAAGGGGACATATGCCATAGGTAACATCCAAATGGCTTTCCATTTCCATGTGTTGGGGATGGTGGCTACAACAGATACTTGGGGGATATCACACAAGTAGGAGGATGCCTGAAAACACCCCAGGGACCAGGGGAAATATTATTGCTTGTGGGCAAGCAATACTATCTAAAGAAAAAGAAAGAGGTGAGTAAAATAGCAGCAACTATGTGGTGGCCCCTCCACATAGCAATGGATGCAGCAACAGAGGCAGAGTTTCAGGCCCAATCCTGTATTAAGCAACTAAGGAAGAATTAAAACTGGAGTGTGCAACATGATTAACTCAAGCAGGGACTACTGAGCAATAATTGCTCATAGAAGAATATTGATGAGAATTTAGAAACTTAAGCCTTCTGCTTTGCTAAACTGAAAGGTAAACGTCTACCATGAGCTAAAATAAGGATGAAAATTACTTAAAAGAACTGGGACCCTTGGTGACCCCAGGATCTCAGAAGAAAATAGGAGTACTGGAATGAACCAATTAAGGTACCAGTACTAAAAGCCAGATGGCTCCTAAATCAAAAGGTAAAGACAGATCTGTCTCAGCTAGTGAAAGTGGATGATGAAAATCTTCCCCCTCCCAGTTGGTACATGCATATCTCCAGAACCAGGGAACAAGGGGAAATGTAGCAGTATGGCTGTTGTGGCTTTGGGATACTATTACTGAATGTATACTCCTATCAGAGAGCAAAATGAAATAAAATGCCTCAGGCACCACACACCCTACCCTGTAGTAACATTTATATTCAGCTGTTAAGGAGAACTATGACATCTCTATTGTCCTTGGATGATAGCTGCCTATAAAAAATTCTTAGCTCCACTGGGGATTTACCTGTGGCACACCCAGATGACCTCCTAAGAGAGGAATGAAGTAAGCAATTTATGCAGAGATCTACAATGGTCCTAATGAAATAGCAGGAATAAAGAAGACATTCTTCAAATGGCTCTGGGGCATATTATGGAACTCTGGTATGAATTCTCAGTCCTTTGGTGGCCCTTCCAGTTTCTCAAGCAGCACAGGCTGTAACTGATATAGGGGAAACTGAAAAAATTAGGAAGCAAGGAGCTGGGTTTGTGGCTCAGCAGTAGAGTGCTCGCCTATCATGTGCGAGGCTCTAGGTTCAATCCCCAGCACCACATAAAAAAATAAATAAATAAAATAAAGGTATTATGTCTGACTACAACTAAAATATAAATATTTTTTAAAAAGATTAGGAAGTGAGAGATACAGAATATGGATGAAAAGGTGGGAGAAGGATGGAGTAAAAGAAAGGCAAGATGTCCAATAAAGAAAGCCAGAAGAAATTTGATTTCATGTGGGAAGGGCAAAAATTGACTTTCAATGTTCTTCCCCTAGGATATTTACATAGTCCAACCATACATCATGGGATGATGGCAACTGATCTGAACTAATGGACAAAACTTGACACAGTATCAATGTTTCATTATATTGATTATACAGTGTTAATTTCTGAGTCTTTTCCCTACCAAGAGGAGGCAACCCAAAGGTGGTGGGGCATTTCCCAGAGAAAGGATGGGTAGTCACATCTCCAAGTTGCAAAAACTTGGGCTATCAAATACTTGGGGTTATTTGGTTGGATAAGACTTCAGTGGTACCAGCTTCTCTCATAGGTAAAATTTAAGCTTTCTTTACACTGACTACTCCCAAAGAGATGCATCTCATTTGGAATCATTAAGCCCCTTCACTCCATATTTAGCACAGATGTTAAGACCACTGTGCCATTTAGTAAATAAATAAAGTGGGACTGGGAACATGAGCACATTAAATACACACACACACACACACACACACACACACACAGCAAAATTATAAACCTTGAGCAGAGTATTCCAAGAACAGCCCTATGAATTGGATTTTCTAGATACCATGATGGTTTTAGACAAGGCTGTGGTGGTGGCCTCAGAAACAGACATGATCAATGTCTTATGTGATGAAGTGTATAGCTCAGGAGGGAAGAATGAAACAATAGTGGCAGGATGATTTCATCAGATCCTTGCCCCTATCAAAAGTCTATAAGCTTGTCCAAACATGTGCAGGTTAAAGAAGCAATGAGAGCAAGCCTGGACTGGAATATCTAGGTACATGCTATCTTAAAGGACACTGACTTTCTCTCATGCACGCTGGGAAAAAGGACAATTTAACATTATTAGAAGAAAGTTGCTTTCTGCATGTACACCAGGGTAGTTGCTCCTTGGGGTGTTGGTCATACATGCAACCTAACCAAGCTAATGTTGATGTCTCTGTTTCTGTAACCTAACTATAAACCCCCTCCTCCTCTAGTAACTGGTGCAGATCAGAGCACTTTGGAGGCAGAAGTGCTCATCCAGGTGGCTACCCCTGGACAAAGAGTGGAGAGGGATAGGAAGCACTATTCTCTGCAAGGTACCAGAAACACAGTGTGTAGTAGAGGTCCATCTGCCCAGCCTGTCACCACTGGACTTTCTGGCAAAGCACCTTTCCAGCCTTTTGCCTCTGGACCTTCCCTGTAAGCATTTCTCAGTAAAGCATAAAATTTGCATGTCATGTCCAGGCATTTTGTTTGGTCTTTCAGTAACTTTTCCCACTACCCTGGCACAACAGGGCTATGTACATGACACTGTGGATAAAAGTATAGCCCAGAGATACCTGAAACCACAAAGCCTCACTGCCAAGCTTCTGTGAGTTCAGTGGCTGTTTTTTCCCCTAAGCATCTACACTTCACAAGTTCATATATAAGTCAATAAAATGAAGATATAGGAGGCATGGTGCCTGTCATCACTAGCTTCTCCCAGAATTCCTTCACATGGTTCCTGAGACAATCTTATCCAAGGCTGGAGGACCTGAGAGCACTCTACTACCTCACAACTTCATGCACAGTGCCCACTTGCTGGTCCACACAACCTCACTACCAATGTCATAGTTCTCTCTCTCTCTTGTTTTTAACATTTATTTATTTTTATTTTTATGTGGTGCTGAGGATCAAACCCAGGTCCCTGAGCATGCTAGGCGAGTGCTTTTCTGCTGAGCCACAATCCCAGCCCCAACATAATTCTCTTTATAAAGAAGATTCCATGATTTGAACCACCAATCCACAGATCAACCTGGAAGCTAGGAGAGGGATGCTCCCAAGAGGTCTAATCTTAGAAATGTGAATTAATAATTAAGAAATTTAAGTTGAAAGAACATGTAAGAAGAGCTCATAGGATAGAATAGGCCCTCTGAGGGGTAGTGAACAAGCCAAAATTAGGGGAAAGATCTAGGACAGAAAAAGCACCACAGTGAGAAGAGAAGTGGATGGAGAGAAATAGGGATGGGAAAGGAGCTAATCTGAGCATGCAAAGCCATCACTAAAGGCCTCCGGCCTTCCATGCATGCCTCTCTGGGGTCTAACAAGACTCATTCTCTAGCCTCTAGGGTACCTATGTCCTTCTATAGTCACGTGTTGCTTACAGTGGGAACATGGTCCACATGTATGACTAGAAGATTCTGTCATCATGCAAACATCATAGAGTGGACTTACACAAACCTAGATGGCATAGATCAATCACTTGATGTGGCCTCTTGATTTGATTTAGAGATATAGTAAACATGAGATGAATGAGGCTGCTTTCTGGCACAACACTGCATACTTATTTTACAGTAAATTTTTTAATAAGTAGAAGGAGTACACTCTAAAATAAAAGTGTAGTGTAATAAGTGCATAAACCAATAATAGTCATTTACTTATCAGTTGTATAGGCACAGCAGGGTTATACCAGTATCACCACAAATATGAATAACATGCTGTACCACATTAGAATTGCAACACTGTCACTAGAAGGCAGAAACTTTTCAGATTCACTATAATCTTATGGGACCAACGCCATATATGCAGTGTGTCATTGACCAAAAAGATCATTATGCGACATGTAACTGTAAATACATTCTTCCTTCCTTAATTCCAGAAAACAATGCTATGAGTCTGTTCAGCCCATATTACCACTCACCGTGATTCAAGAGGAGCTTCACCTTGACCCTAGTTGAGGTCTAGCCCCTACTTTAAGTGCCACCTCCAGGGGTACACTCTCATCCTGGCACCCCACCCATGGGACATCTGTTAGCCACTGGAATGGAACTGTTACTGCCCAGAAATTCCTA